GGCTTGGAGGGCGGAGGCGGCGGCCTTTCCGGGCGGAGCCAGCCGGCCCCTCGCTCAACCCCACGCTGGCAGCCACGGCGGCCCTCAGCCCCCTGCACGGTTGCGCCGGAGACATCCGCCCAGGCCCGCTTCCGGGAGGAAGTGACGCGCCCAGTCNNGTCAGCTTCCGGTCCGGGAGGCTCGGCCCCACCTCCGCGCCGGGCAACTTAAAGGGACCACGACCCCCAGGAGGATTGAAGGAGACCGGTGGGGACGGGGCGGGGCGCAGCCTTGCGGAGCCTTAGCGCAGCGCTGGGGAGGGGGGCGGCCGAAAGGGGGGCGGTGGTCGGGCCGCGCAGGCGGAGATGGAATGGGGCCTCGGCTCAGACTGGACACGGGGGTGAGAGAGGGCCCGTCAGGGCGGGGGAGAAGGGGCTCGGACCCCGCGCCAGCGCGGGCCCTGACCGTCTGTCTCTCGCTCTCTTCCGGGCAGGGATCCTGCCGGCGTGGACCGTGGGAAGGCGGGGCTGGGGCTCGGCGGGAGGCCACCCCCGCAGCCGCCCCGGGATGAGCGCGCCCAGCAGCTGCTGGACGCGGTGGAGCAACGGCAGCGGCAGCTCCTGGACACCATCGCCGCCTGCGAGGAGATGCTGCGGCAGCTAGGCCGCCGGCGCCCGGAGCCGGCGGGTGGCGGGGTCAGTGCCCACCCCGGGCTGGGCCTGGGAGGTGGGGACTGTCCACTGGCTAGATTTGCCAAGCCCTAGCTTCCCATGGAAGGTGAAAGTGTCCCCACTGCTTTACCTCCCACCTTCCATCTGGGCGAGAGGCTCTGAAAAAGTTCAGTGCTGTCCAGATGCCAAGTAGCCATATCCTCGCGGGGCCTAATCCAAGGCCTTTCCTCCCAGCCTCACTTTTTTCCTTTCTGTTCCAACCAGAATGTCTCAGCCAAACCCGGAGCGCCCCCCCAGCCAGCTGTCTCCGCTAGAGGTGGCTTTCCAAAGGATGCTGGCGATGGAGCTGCAGAGCCCTGACCATTCCCGAGCCAGTGGCTCTGCGTTCTCTCCTTTCCGGGGGCTGGTGGCTGGACTCTGAACAACTGCTTTCAATGAAGGGGCCAGTCTTCACTGGCAGCGGCTGGAACTTGGCCCTCAGCCTCGGGTGGCAGCTCTGCTAGCAGCTGGGTTCACTCCCACTTCATCCTGGCTGAAGGCAGTGCTGAGCTTTGAAATGTAACCAAGGAATACCCAGTCTGATTACTGGATTTGGGCAGGCCAGCAGTGCTTGCCAGAGTGGTCTGGCCTGCTTTGGGGAATCCAGGTGGTGTTACATGTCCATTTCATGCTTTGGGGGCTCCAAGTCCCACAAAACACTTTTAGCAGAGCCTTAATTAAAAGGAAGCCTGCAGACTCTCCTGGTGATGACCTTTCCTTTCTGTCCTTTCCTTTTGGTCTCTAAGACTCTGATGGCTGTGGAGGGGGGAAGTGGTTGAAGGCTGTCAACCATGGGCAGGGTTGGGAAGAAATACCACAGATAACTACCAGATTTAAATAAGCATTTAATTAGGATCTCATTAGTATTTAATATTGCTTTTTCAATTCCAAAAAGTTAAATTTTCACTTCGTAGCAGATATTTTAAAGTACAATATTAAGTTTATACAAAATGAGCAATTAAGCAAACACCATTATTTCACATTCTTCAAAAATACAAATTCATATTTACTTTTTTGGGTTTGGAGGTTTCTTCCTTTGGAAGTACTGAACCTGTAACGTTTTCATATCGCTCAGTGGAAGTCCGTTGTTCCCATGTTTCACACTTAAATGAATTTGATAGGCTTTACATAATCCAAACAAAACTATTTGGGATTTAAAGAACTGTCACCAAGACCTCCAGCCAATGACTAGTGTATGTCAAAAAAGAAGGCTCTCGCGGGTCTTGCCTTTCCTGGCCAGAAGATCTAAGCCAGAGACTCAGCAAAACCGTGTTTCCAGCCACCTTCCCCAAACAGGGACTAGGAGTTCACAGGGAAAGGAAATAACCACCTTGAACTCCAACTTCCACCCCCACATTCACCAAAAAAAACAACAAAGGACTAGACTGTAGAGTCAAACATCACCCTAGGGGAGGCCTGAGGACACAGGGGAGAGAGCAAGAGAGGCCTCTGACTTGGCACCACTACGAGGATAACAAGGATATTGCAAAAAATGCCCCTGGGTTTTGGTGAAAAAGGTTTTATGAAAAACTTTCCCGTAAGAAAAAGAGTAGAAACTGCATTGAGCTGAGAAAGTGACACATCATCACCCAATTTTTGGCCCAGCAGGCACACCACCAAAAGGGCAGTGTGTGGTTTTAAACTTTGCATCCAGTAAAAAAGCTTGTAATATGTACACAATGACATAAAGATCCAGTTTAATTTGCATTTTCAGTGCAGACTAAGAAGCCCTCTCTTGAACAGGCGTAACAGTGAGAAATGCCCAAACAGTGGTCATCAGCTTCCCCAAAACTGTCCAAAAGGAAACAGGATAAACTGGTTACCAATCAGAAATATGCATAATTCAGTTTTGTTGCCTACCCCTCCCTAATATTAAGGAATGAACAATTCCAATCTATGTCACAGCAGAACTGTGCATGTTGGATCTATGGACATCTTTCTGCTTTGGCTGAAGCATTTTTAAACTTTCCTATTGTATAGTAGCCTGAGAATGAAGATAAAATGGGGTAGGAGGGGGAACAAGAGAGGAGTGATGGGGAAGGAAAAGAGTTGATAAAGTAAACTTTTAACAGCTTTGTTTATTGGATTTAACCAAGGCTGGAGTCCATTTTTGCTTAAAGAGCCAACAGGGGCAGTGTGGGAGCAGTAAGAAAATGGCTCACCTTGCCTCCCCACCACTAACACCTCCCCAAACATATTTCTGATTGGTGATGTAGGAAAACTGAAAAGTCTTTAGCAATACTGTTGCAAGTTCCACAAATCAATGGTTTCAGTGACTCTGGAGGTCTTCAAGATTAAGGACAATGGACATGATTACAGATATAAAAGTCTAGAAGGTGCCAGGTTTCTACCTAGGAACAACCTGTTCCTTTCAGGCATCACTTTGTAATGGTGAAGGGGGGAAAGATGGCAAGGGTGCAAGTAGTGATGAAAAAGGGCCTGAACAGTCAGCAGAAGAAAACAGGACCCGCAGCAGTTCTTTAGAGAGCCTGAGGGGGCGCCCTCAGGCACACAGGGAAGGCTTGCATAGATTGAGCAGTTGCTGAGAATGCATAATAGTGTTTCCCTACAGACAGCCTCCTGGTACAGGGCTGATGGAGCAGAAAATACCGCCAGGTCAGGGCAACATGGGACAACGACTGTCAAGCTACACATATTGCACCAAGGTAAGTGCTTTTCTTTTCACACCTCAATTTAACTTTTTATTCTGAGCAAAAAATAAAACTTTGTGGAAAGTACACACACACACACACACTCACACACACACACACTCTCACACACACACACAAACAAAAGAAATTGCAGCAATTGGGTTAAAGATAAAATAACCTAAAGTGCTTTTTTATTTTATTATTTCTTTAATATACCAATATGAGGTTCTGCAAACTCGTCCCTCTGGACACATTCAGCATTATACAAAGTCTCTCAGGAAACCCACCCACCCTCCATTAAACCCATCAGTCCACTGCCTTGACACTGAAGATAAAACTCTCCAAGCTTCTGACTCTCCCAGAGGTGGTGAAGGGGAGTCCCTGCTTCTACCCACATTAAGGCCCCTCCCAGGCTTTGTACCAAGATCTCCCTCTAAAAGGATGGGGGTAGGGGGGAGATAGGGAATTCAATAAATGACACTAACTCCTGTCACCAAACTAGTGATGCCCCCATGAGGCTGACCAGACCCTGCCAGGAAACGCAGGGCCATTTTCCCTCACTGCCTGGGAAGGGCCAAATTCACTAAGGCAGTTTGGCGGTGCCAGCCAAAGCTTCTTCCCACCTCCTAAGCCCATGAACTCCAAACCCTGACTCTGACTAGCACCCTGTAAAGGAGCAGTATAACTAGAGATGCTAGTGGGGACTGGAAATATAAATCTGCAGGGTGGAAATGGTTAAGGTTACCATGGGAAGAAAAAAGGCTTGATTTCACCTGCTAGAAATCTGCAGACCTTCCCTAACCTTACCAACTAGCCTCATCCCCAGGTTTGGGAAACCACACCCTCCATGAAGGCTCTGTCTGGCTCCACTTTCAGCAGCAGCTCGCTCTTCTCCAAGGTCCTTGGCACTAAAGGCCAGGTTTACCGGAGGGGGTGGGGAAGGAGAGTGCTGGAAGAGGAAGGAAAAGAAAGACTGCCTATCCTGTGGAATAAATCTGCTCTTTACAACAACTCACTGACATTTTAAGCACACTGATTTTCCAAAAGCCGATTGGGTTTGATAGTCCCCCTTGCAATCTCAAACCACCCTCCAAAGACAGATACTTCAACTAGAAAAGCCTGTCAGCCTAAATAAACACTGTTTTAAGATGCTTCTTCATCACCCCCAACCTTTGGAGAAGGGAAAAGCTACTGACCTGGGTAGGCTCAACACGGTAGCACATCCCTGGCTACCAGAAAGAAGCAACATGTAAACCATGGACCTTCTAGTGGCTTCCCCTGGGCTCCTGTTTCCCACCTGCTCCCAGGGAACTGAATCCCAGGTGACTCTATGTGGGAGGAGGTCATTCCTGCCCGCCTATATGAACTACCTTTGGGATCCTATTGTGCTGCTCTCTCAGAAGGGGAAAACAGCTTCCTATGGTGGCAAGGTGCAGAGACAGCCAAGGACAAGCCATGCTCAGCAGTTGGTTTTCCAGGATCAACCCGCTCTGGTAAAATAGATTCCTCCTGCCTTATCAACTTCTGCTGAGGTCAATGGTCTCCAGAACCCACCAGCTTTTGGGGGAGGGGAGTGCAGAAAGTCAAAAGGAAACCAATTCTCCTGCCTAGACTCCTGGAATGAGAAACCACCAGCTGCTTGTGGCTAAGCCCATTTCTCACGGCAGTAACAACGCTCACCAACACTGCCCTCTTGTCCAAGTCTGTCCCTGAACATCTTATTAAAGGCAGGGCTTCTGGCTCCCAAAATGATCTGCTCTGGATACTGTCTTGGCTGGCCCTGAGTATTGGCTCAGAGAACAGGAGGGTGACAAATGCAGATAGATCTCTTTACATTAGGGAGTGGAAAAGGAAGGCAAATTATGGCTACTTTCTGTCTGACATCGTTGACTCTGAAGAGCAGCTGTTTGTGGAACCCTGCTCCTTGCTCAAGGTGGGGAAGGGGCTCTTGGGAGGCAGAGGCCTAGTCTAGACACTGTGGCATGCCCAGTTTCTGAGCTCAGTGAGCTTGGTGAGCACTCATGACTGCATTAATATAGCCAGCTGAGAGAAACTTTCCATTTAAGTGTGGACTGTACTTTATGATTATGTTTAGAGGCAATGACTTGGAGCCAAAGGCAGACAGATGGATGTAATTCTACACACAAATCAAAAAACAATTCTTCTTTCCTATAACACAACTTAGTGAAACATTCCAAATGAGACAACGTATTGCAACATTTCAGGCTTTTTGGTGGAAGGGGAATTTTTTGTTTGTTTTACCCTGAGTAGAAGATCATCGTTTTGTGTTTTTTATTTTTGTTTTTGTTTAGACATCATGTGACTAAGCTGAGCAAGTCACATCCTTCTTTGCACTGTACTAGGCTGTATGCAAAATTCAGAGGGGTGAGAGGTGGAGATGAGAGGGGCAACCAAAAGCCTGGCTAGAACCTGGAACCAGAATACCTGGCCTGCCAATTACATGCCACCTTTAAAAACCTCTCTTAACGCTACACCTGATAAGCAAAACACAGCTCTTCTGCTCTGAGGAAGAAAAATACCATTAAAGGAAGGCAGAGCACTGACCAGCAGCTGGCCATCAGCCCATATGTCCAATCTAGGACAAAAGAGGGATGTTCCCCAAGAAAAATTTACTGTGATCTGCAAACCCTGGCAACCAATTGAGAGACAGAAAGAACCAGGAAGGCAAAGAGTGTGATCACGTTGCTAGAGCCTGCTCTGCACACACGTGATTGACAGATAGCAAACAGCTTGCTAGGGCCCCCAAAGAACCAGATCATCAGCACAGCTTCAGGTCAGGCTTTTAGCTGCCCACTTGTGCTGCAGCTGGATGCAGGATGACACCTGCTACAGTCACTCTGAGCTCCACTGACACCAAGCGCAAATAGCAAAACCATCTCACCCAATTCCTGTCCAGCTCACAGCTGTCTGACCTACCTTTGCCATTTCCCTCTCTGATGGAGTGAGGGTCTGGCCTTTGGAGCAAGCTTCAGCCTCAGATTCAAAAGACACACAGGGAGGAGCAACGCTTGGCACACTGAATCCACTGCCCAGACCACAAGGCCCCAGTGCAAGCGATGGGCAACATCAGATTGATGGAAACCACGCCCTTTCCCTTAGAATTTTTATGCATACGAGTAACCTTAATTTCCAAGTTCACATGACAATAAGCAAAAGTGACATACAGTGCAGCCAAACAGTTCATTTATAACTTAGCTTTTTTTTGTTTTGTTTTGTTATTTTTTTTCCCAAAGACCAGTTCCTTAAAATGGATGCTCCTGGGATATGAATAAAGAAAATACATCTGAAAGGTGAGGATTTCAAACAGTAGATTTCTTCATCCTTCATACTGCAGGTCTCATGAAGGTAGGCACCCCACCTTATGTATGCTTCCTGCTTGCCTTTTCCTGGAGGGGAGCACATCCGGGCCTTTCACTTGGAGAAGCTGCTGGTCAGGCCCAGCTCCTCCTCCCCCTGCAGTAGTGCTTCAATGGGAATCAGATTGGACGGCGGGTCCAGGTTCGGTAGGGACAGAAACTCTGACACATCCATGGCACTTAACGTTTCTGTCTGAGGGTCTGGAGGAGTCTCTGCTTGTCTGCTTTGCTCACAGGAAGAGGGGATGGCAGATGAGGACAACCGGGGGACAGAGGGTGAGGAGAAAGTCTGTGGTGGCAGCTTCAGGCTGGGCCCATCAGGAGGCGGGGGGCCTGGCTCTGGAGGGGGTGGGGAGGAACAGCCCTTTCTCCTGCCAGCCGCCCGCTCCTTGGCAGAGTCCCGGCATGCACACTGACACTGACATGCCTCCTCTTGCTTGATGATGATCACGGGAACACTGAGGCCAATCTGCTGTACAGAGCTCCCTGCGAGAGAGGCAAGAGAGACTGCTCTTCAAGTGGCTGCAGGGCACAAGGGGATCTAGACTAGGTGAGAGCTGAGTGCCATGGAGGCAGGAATGATGGAGAGGGTGGGTGCCATGTGCCAAGACAAAGTCCCTCTTCCTTAGAAAGTCAGGCATGCACGCACACCACGGAGATGTGCCCTGTATTTCCAGCCTTGTTTCCAGCCATCCTCTCCCCTGCACCCTCCATGCCAGCCACAACGGATGCCTCCCTTTTCCTGACATGTTTTTCTTACCTCTGAGCCTATGGGCGCTTCCTTCAGCCTAAACTCCCCAGGCTGTTCTTCTGGAGAACTTACTCTTCTTATCTCTGAAGACCCAGCTCACTCCCCTCCCGTTCTGATGCCTCCAGGCAGTGTTTCCAGCAGGCTTATCCCTAGGGCTGGCCCGAGGGCAGCTGCCTGGTACTGTGCACAGAGCTCCCAAATTCCTCCCACCTCTCTGTCCACACAGTGCAGGGCTTGTTCACTTCCGTCTGCCCAAGAGGCTCAGACAGATGTCTTCACGATATCTCACTCATCTTTGTAGCGCATCTCTGACACACAGTAGGTGTCTGTAAACCTCCTATTACACAACCAGCCTTGTGCGCACACACACTCTGTGAATTGAGACGTAGTTTGTGTGTCTCAAGAGCTCTAGAGACCAAGAGGCAAGAGGCCTGAGAACTCATGCTTTGGCTCGGCCACAAACTCATTTGTGACTTTCGGGGGAGTCATTTAACCTTTCAGGACCTGTTTCTTAATCTATAATATAAAGAGTTTGAAAAAAAGGACCTTTTAGTTCTATACAGTCTCTGACCCAGATGCTATTTCTTCATTACTGTAATTAGAAAAGAGTCCAGTGAATTAACCACTGCCCTCTTTAGCATTAACTGTGATTCAAGCTTTTTTCTGGCTACATTTAAAAGCTGTATCTGAAAGGGAAAGAACTTACCAGTTAAAAAGTGTTAAGTGTGGTACTGTTGCCTTAAGTGCACTAACCTCCAAAAATAAGAATATGAAACACTCTAATAAATAAACAATACAATGTGACAAATTTGATTTTAAAGTTTTAAAAACTGAGGCAAAGCAATGATTAACTGTGCCTCAGGGGGCGCAGAGAGTTGGCTATCTTTTAAAGCTCACACAAAATTACATACCTGTGCTACTGGCTACTGGTACCGCAGTGGTAAAAAACACCTTCTCAACTTTAGATGCTTGCTGCTGGAAAAAAAACAACAAGAAATCACATTTATGGCCACTCAAATGTGGCAGATCTCCAAGGAGGTTAAGCCTCCCCATGTGATGGTTATCCAAGAGGACAGAAAGCCCTCAGTGCTGAGGGATTTTTGCACTGAGAAATGTTTTGTTTGTACTCTGACATGAGGTCACCCCACTGTTTGACATTCAGTGCGGACAATGTAGCCAGCTTTGCCCCCCACTACCTGGCTGTCTCCCAGCTGCCTAATCCAGTGGTTCTGTGTGTCCAAAGTCCTCCAAGGTTGCTTTTCTCAAGCCAATGACCTTCTCAGAGGGAGCCCCAAGGCTAGCTTCCCCTTCCAGCTCTCCACTCTCCACCATTCCCCAATACTTCTATGAGGCTGGAAAATTTTTTTCCCCTCAAGGATTAAGCTGCATGCTAAGGACAGGCTAAGAGTGCCTCTCACAGGCAGAGTAGCCCCAGTGAAGGCACTGAGCACAGGGCAGCTGCTCAAGGGTGGGTCCTGAACTCTGCCACTTATTCGTTGTTGAGGTCAGGCAAGTGATTTAACCTCTAAGAGTCTCAGTTTCCCCACCTGTAAAAATGGGGATGATAACCAGAGGATGCTTGGTGAGCACTCAGCAAACGTTAGCTACTTATGTTACTACTAAGTAGGACTATAAAGTCATGCCCAGAAATGATCCTAATCACTCAGTACACTTCCTATGAAATTGGCTATAGTTCCTACTTTCTTCAAGTTTTATCTTAAAAGGGCTTTGTCTTTTATCCCTTTAAAGAAAAAGATAAAGCCTAGGAGGAACATGAAAGCTTCTGGCTAAGTTATAGGAGATGACACTATAAAATAATGATGGAAAAATTAGAGCCATATTTAAATGCATGAAAGTGAATTATGTGGAAAGGGAATGACGACACTTGTTCCATGCAGCTCCCCTGAGCAGATCCAGAAAAAAATGATAAAAACCACATCGAGGCAGATTGGGTCGTAACATTTCATTGAAAAGACCTTTCCATTTGAAAATGGAACTAGGTTGCCTCCAGAGGTGGCTGGCACCCCATTTATGGAATTTGAGTGCTCTCACTATTTAGCCCTAGTTTGTTTGAGAGCATCATACATCTCTCCAGATGTTCTCCTACCTGGGGTATCCTTTTCTCCATCTAGTTCCTACTCTCACTTCAAGGCTCATCTGATCTGTATGGCTACCCTACAAGCCCTTCGTCTCTGACCCCTCATCAAGCAGCACGATGTAGTAATGAAGAACATGGGCTCCGGGTTGGTCTGTGCTCAAACCCCAGCTTGCCACTTATGGTGTGTGACCTTGGGCTGCTCGTTTAACTGAGCCTCAGCTCTCCTCTGGTAAAATCCTACCTATGTCCTAGGATTGTTGTAATGCATTAAAAAGTGCTTAGTTAGCACAGTGGGTGACATCTAGAGATACAGACATATAGAAACAGCAAAAGATCAGTGGTTGCTATGGGGGAAGAAAAAGGGACAGAATAAGTGACAAGGGTACTTTAGGGAGATGAAACTATTCTGGATACTGTAATGGTAGATACATGATGCCAGGCATTTGTCAGGTACCACATAAAGAGTGAAAATGGGTTGGGGGGGCAAAGGGTGTATGATAATTCTCTGTACTATCTGTTCAATAAAGTAGAGAAAAACTAACTTAAAAATAATGTACATAAGGTAATGTCTTACAAGTTAGGTCCTCAGTTTTACAAAGTGCTTAGATTAACACAGTAAGCCCTTACAGCTGTTATTTTTTCCTATTACCATTTTTTATTATTTGGCACTTTACCTACTCGTAATGTTAATTTCTTTTAAGCATTTTACCCTCTTTATCTAGAATGTTAAGCTTTTATGAAAAACATCATGGTTTTCATTTTTTGGTATCCCCAGAGCATCCACGTGGTATCTGGTAAATACCAGGCTCTCAAAGTATATTTAATTGAATGACCAAGTCATTTCCTTATCATCGAGACCAAACACTTTTGTAGAAAATGGCTCTAAGTGGGCTCTGGGAACACAGACTATTTCTCTGACTGGCCTCTGACAGGGTCATATCAGTCCCTCACATCGGTGTGCCTCTGTCCTGGAGACAGAACCCACTTTGCTGAAACGTTGCTGGGTCTCTGGAGTTTGACTGTTCGCCTGTCCTGGACGATGGGATTAGACTGCAGGAGGAATACTTGTTCAAATGCCTACTAAAGGTTGCTTCTCTGCCTCCCTACTATATCAGCCCAGCATGTCCTGGATTTACACCACCTGGTTCTGGGGAAAATGTCGGAGACAGAATTACACGTTTGGGGGCAGACATGACAACCACCTTCCCTCGTGAAGTACGAGCCTCTGAACATGTCACCTGTGTAAATACACTTCGCCCCCGGTCAGTTCATACATAATACTTACAATTTGTTCTTGGTTTTGCGGTGAACTGGCGGCACCATTTAATATCCACTGTAAGTTCTGTTCTCCCATGACCAGGCTGGACTGCAGGATAGCTGTGCTGGGAGTCGGGGTGATGGTTATGGTGGGATTATTAGTTAGGACAGAGTTGGCACCCAGGGGTAGAGTCTGGACCATGGCTGGCAGGGGCTCAGTAGTACTTTGTGGTTGGGGCGGTGCTGCCACGGCTGATGTCACTGCTGCTGCTGATGCAGAAGCCCCAGCAACAACAGAAAGTCCTGGTACGATGGGCTGCGGTGCCTGAGGGTGTGGAAGAAACTCTTGATGATTAGCAGCAAACTGTGTGCTGTGGGGAACAGGCACTTCTGGAGGTTGTAAGAGAGCAGGGGGGTTGCCAAATGCAGCTTGCTGGGAACCAGTTCCTAGGGAGGGAGCAGGCGGAGGAGCAGACGGTGCTGAGGCTGGTAGCAGAGGCTGGGGTGGCTCGGAGAGGCCAGGCTGCAGTACAAGCGGAAGAGATAAAGATGCTGAATTTCCTGTGGATGGCGGAACATCACTGACTGACTCTGCATCACCATTAAAACTTTCAATCAAGGCAGCTGGCAAGAAAAAAAAAATAGAAAAATATATACATATCCCAAGCCTTACATGAGCCAACACAAACACAGTCACTATGGGCTAAACCAAAGACAGCTGAAGTATATCAGAGCCAATTCCTTCATTGCTAGCAGGCTGGCTTTCTGTTTGTCACTTAATGACATCCTGGCCAAAGTACCAGGCTTCACAATCAACCCCACTTTCTAAATGTGAAGACCTAGTATAGGTCTTAGCATAAAAAATGTGTAGTAAGGCTTTTCTAGAAATGGGGCTAGGGCTCCTTTTCTGGCATGACCAGTGTGTATATTTTCTGACTACTGTGAGCTTCAGAGACAGATTCTCATTCAAACACAGTCTGATCTCTGCATCTGACAGCTAAGTCTGTGGATCCTATCCACTCATGAACAGGGTGTCACATCAGAAGAGTTCTGACCTCCGCTCATTTTTTAAAGCCAACAAGAGCTTTAGAAAAGGAGACCCTTTTCTTTAAGGATCTAGGGAAAGTAGACCCTCAAGTAGACCCTTGCTGAGGGAAGTAGGGAAAAGATGAAACTGAACTGAAAGGCTGTTACTTTTCTAACCCTTCACTGACAGTCACTCCATTTGAAGGAACTGAAATAGTCTTTCACCAGGCCTGTCATTCAGTGTATCAACAGTGTGAATTCCCTTTCCCAGTGCTGAGATCTGAGCAGGAAGAGTCTGTACAACAAACCTGTCTGCTGAGGATCTTCCCGAATTGCCGTATCATCTGAATTCTGGAACATGGATTTAAAGATGATTGCTGGTGAAAGTGTGCTGAGATCCTGGCCCTGTGTCTGATGGACAAAGACAAGGATATGAGACCAGCCATCAGAGGCAACTCTCCACCATAAGGGGACACAGAGCAGCTGAACCATGTGATATTTTGATATGTTTCTTGTTTCTAACTTTTCCTTTTTTTGGGTGACATATATGTCCCTGAACCTCAGACATTCAAGATTTGGGGCCTCAAATACTCCAAAACAGAATCCGACAAGCTTACTAGTAGCAGGAGGAATGCCTGCTTTTAAAGAATTTTACTGGAACACAGATATGCTCATTCATTTACTGTCCATGTGCTTTCAGCTACAATGCTAGAGCTGAGGAGCTGTGACAGACTGTATGTTCTTCGAAGTCAAAAATATTTACTATCTGGCCCTTTACAAAAAAAGTGTGCTGACCCCTGCTCTAAAAGACCAAATCTTACATAAAAATGGGATTGAATAATACCCATTATTTGCAACCTGTTTTTCTTAGGTAATAATATATTAACACCTTTCAACGTCATTTCATAACATCTATAATATTCCAATATGTACATGTGGTAATGAATCAACCAATATAAAGAACTTTTATATGTCCCATAACAGGCAATTGTGATCATCTTATATGCACTATTGTCTGTCATTATATTGATTCTTTGTAACTTAAATTGAGAAAAGGTAAAAGATATTTATAAAGATAAAACTTGAAACAAACAAACACATATTGCCCTAAGGACTGAGTCCTGATAGGCACCAAATAAAATAACCACCTCCAGGCTTCCCTTTAGTTACAGGAAGGGGAAAACAGCAATTCTTTTATCTGCAGTCCACCTCAAGTCCACCTCCACCCATGCATTTTGTAGGGCAAGAGTGACCAAGGCAACCCCAAGAGTCTAGACAAGCACTAGAATTCAGCGAAGCAAGGGGGCAGGGGCCGTAAGGCTGTGGCAAAGGAGGGAGAGTATGTGCCCAGTCACCTAAGGGCTTCAGTGGAATCCTGCCAAGTGGCTCTGCAGGCTGGGGAGTACCAGAACTCAAGAACAGTCCTAAATTTGGATTTTTTGGTTAAATCTACTGATTTGTAATTAAAAGCAAGTAACTGAAAACATTTAAAAGCACCAAATAAACCAAACAAAGCCTATCTGCAGGCTATACTTGGCCCCAGTGCTAACTTGTGCTTTAAGGTTGTTCTGCAATGACTCTGCTTCTGGGAAGGGAAGGACCACTCTGGGGCTGGGCAAAGTGTGCTGAGCAGAACTGTCCACCCATCTAGAGATCCTCAGAGAGGAAACTGCCCTTTGAGCCAAGAGGGGACAATTATTCTGGCACTATTCCACCATCTGGAAGAATGAGAGGGGAGGCTGAGTGAACGTGACTGCCAGTATGGCAGAAGCTGAAAGCAGAAATCTACGTAAAGCTTCCGCCTTCCAGTCCACAAGGGGTTGAGAATCACAAGTGAGACAGTGGCCTTCAAACTCTTCATCGTGACACAAAGGAATACATTTTACAGTCCAGAGCATATACATACATATACACTTCATATTACATACATGTCTGTGTATAACTGCAGTCTATGAAACAGCGCTTATCCTCACCATATGCAATGTCTTCTAATACTTTTCTATTCTGTAGATGTCCTTAAAATGCTGATTATAAATACTATTTTATAGCCCAACTCATTTAGAAAAGCAGTGGACTAATAACTATGAAGCTATAAACTTTGCCACGTCCCTGTGGCTGTGTTTTTGTTCTACCTGTTTCCAAATCATCAGCATCAACACTGTTAAAAAGGATGAGGCTGGAGCAGCCGGTGTGACTCATGGCTAAGCGTCGCCCCGCGCACCAAGAGGACACTGCTTTGATTCCCGGTCAGGGCACATGCCCGGGTTACGGGCTCGATTCCCAGTGGGGGGCATTCAGGAGGCAGCTGATCGATGTTTCTCTCCCATCGATGTTTCTATCTCTCTCCCTCTCCCTTCCTCTCTCTCTAAAATAAGAACATATTTGAAAAAAAAGAATGAGGCTGTGTGACTCCAAAAGATATGTACAAGAATGTTCACAGCACCACTATTCATCTTGGTGCCAAGCTAGAAACTATCCAGATACCCAAGGGAAGTAGAAAACACAAACTGTGGTATATTTATTTAGTGTAATACTGTTCAAAGACAATGAATGATCTATTACTACATGCAACAATATGGACTGATTTCTTAAACAAAATGTTGCAAGAAAGAAACCAGCATAAATGAGTATATATATACCACATGACTCCAATAATACAAAGCACAAAAACAGTCAAAATGCATCAATAGGTTGTTAGGAGTTAGGACAGCGGTTATCCTTAGGGAGAGGGAATCACTGTTAGGGGCATGAGGGGGTTTCTGGGGGTGCCGGGACTATTCCATTTCTTGACTTAGGTGCTGGTTACATGGATGAGATAATTTGTGATGATTCATTAAGCTGTACATTTATGACAGGTGTAATTTTCTTTATATATATTAATATCATTAAAAAGTTGTTTTTTTAATTTAAAGAAAAAAAGGAAAAAGTGCTGAGGAGACTGTGACTCAGCCACTGCCCAGGCTTCAGGGTAAAAACCCTGGGAGCAGCTCCCAAAAGTGGAGAAGACAGGAACAGGCTGAGCCTCTGGGGCCTGGAGCAAAGAGAAGAAAGAACACTGGGAGCTGTGTGGGGCCAGAATGGACCCTAAGCTCAACAGCCAAGAGGCTCAGCGGGCCGTTCTCTACCCGCTTCGCCCCTCCTTTAACAAGGATCTGAGCAAACCAAAGTTCACTTCTAGGCCACATGTGGCTGCCCAGAAACCCACAAAATGATGATCACATAAAAATTTATCATTCCATTTTAACAATCCATAATTTTCTTTAAAACAAAGTAAATCAAAGCAAAATTAATCTTATGACTTCAAGGAATTATGGCCTTAGCTTGAAAGGCTAACAATGAGACTATTTCCAATTCTGGGATAAATGCTGGATGGCAAGGGCACAATATGTAACTTGACCCCAAGGGATAGAGCAGCCTCTCTCTTGCTGATGTAAATTGTAGTAGAAAAGAAGTCTCCTTTTTTATAAGAACTTAATGTTCCCTCATATCAGGATTCCTCACCTGGTGACCCTAGGGCTCCAGAAAGCTCCCCAATCATACATTACAGCCCTAGCCAGGGAGTAAACCCCTAAACCATTTAACACAATCTGAGATTAAAGAGATATTATAATCAGTAACCTTAGGCTGCATAGCTCAGAGGGCATCTAGGCCACCCAATACAGAAATTTCTTTTAGAGCTTTAGCTCTGAAATGTGAATATGCATAAAAATCATTTAATGTTTTTCTTTGTTTTTCAGATTGGTTAATTTCTATTGATCTATTTCAATTTAACTGATTCCTCTGTCATTTCCAATCTGCTGCTAAGCTCATCCAGTGAATTTTTTATTTCAGATAAATTTTCAGCTCCAGAATTTCCAGTTGGTACTTTCCTTTATAGTCTATTTCTCAGTTGAGATTTCCTATATACTCAATCACTACAAGCATATTCCTTTATGTCCTTGAGCTACTTAAAAATCCTTGTATGCCACCCTGGCCAGTGTGGCTCAGTTGGTTGGACCATCCCGAAGGTTGTGGGCTCGATTCCTGGTCAAGGCACATACCTAGGTTGCGGGTTTGGTCCCCAGAGGGGGTGCATATGGAGGCAACCCATCAATGTTTCTCTCATACATCGATGTTTCTTTCTCTCTTTCTCCCTCTCCCTTCCCCTCTCTCTAAAATCAATAAAATATACCCTCAGGTGAGGATTAAATAAAATAAATTAAAAAAAAATCCTTGTCTGCCAAGTCTAATATCTGGCTCATCTTGAGATAGGTTTCCATAGGATTACCTTTCCTCTCGCAGAGGGGCAATGGTTTCCTGTTTCTTTTCATGTTTATTAATTCTGAATTACCCTGTACATCGCAAATAATACATTATAGAAACTCTGGATTGTTACACTTGGAAGAGTGTTTGCTTTAACATTCCACTGACTGGGCTATACTCCATCTTCACACTCTGTCTTCCCTGCAATGGACAGCAGTTGCAATTTTTGTCTGCTTTTTTAGCCTTAGCTGGGCTGTTTAGGGTCTGCTCCAAACATCCACAGTTCAGAGGTCACCTAGAGATCTGAACAGAGTTTAGACACAGAACCTGAGGCTCCCCTTTGTGGTTCTCTTTTCCAGGCTATGCCCCCTCGCTTTCTAGGTGCCTTGGTAGCCCTACCCCCTGCCCTCCGGTTTGTCACGCCAGTAAGACCTGAGTGTTCACTGAATTTGGGCCACCTTGTTTGGTGTCACCCGGGGCTTGCCCTGAGTGGGTTAAGCTATAATACCTGAAAACCCAGCCAAATGCCTTTCTATCTTTCAAGTGGCCCCTTCTTTCGAGTGTTACCTCTGCCTATCTGGGTTGCTCTCTGGTACCTTTGAGTAGTTCTTTTTTATATTTTGTCCACATACATAGTTGTTTTCTATGTGAGAGTTGGTCTGATAAGAGTAACTCTGCCATGACCAGAACTCAGGCCTTGGGGTGCTTATATAAAAATGCAGTGTCAGATGTCACTCCCAGACAATACTGACTCAGGAGGCTTGGGGTGAGGTCCAAAAACCTACGCTGCCAGAAGTGCTGCAGATGATTCCACTTTGAGAAATACTTTTTTACAGCATTCCTGAGTCATTTAGTCTCTGTTCCTATCACACTGATTCCTTCTCATATACTCAGAAACTCTAACCTAAGCTATATTTATTTAGCAAAGAAAAACAACAACAATTGCACACTTAACAACTGGTGCTGGTGACACAGTAAAGCACACAGATGCTCACAGAGCAGCGTGAGCTGCGGCTTGATGCAGTGGTCTGCAAGGCACATCATGGAGCCATGGGAAAGGAGGAGAAATTCCAAGCAGAGTGAATGGGACAGTGGGGTTGTCCTTTAGCAGGGGGCCCAAAGAGAAGGTTTCCTTCAAAACCCCAATGTGGGGAGCTCAAAGAAAGGAAAAAACTGACTCAAGTCAGATCAGCAGGGCTTCAGAAAGTTTGGAAACTGGAATTCTGGTTCCCCTTATAAGGGACTAATTTTAAGCTTCTCAAGGACAGACCATGCCTACATTTTTACCACTACAAGCTCAGCACCAGTACACTGCCTGATGGAGTAGGCCCTTGATAAATATTTGCTAAATGACTAGAGAAAGAAATGTTCTGGGGCCAGGAGGTTATCAAGTGAGTGACCTGGGTCAAAAAGGCATTTAGGCATCAGAGAGAACCACCTCCCTATGAGAGCCCTTATCAGGAAAGAACCAGAAACAAAAAAACCTAGCCAGTAGTTGAATACAACTAAATTTGGAAGACTTCAAAAACTGGTCTCTCTCAATTTTCCCACCAAAGCAAGTGCTCAATTCTAGCGCTTATTTTTCTAGCACCCATATCACAGGTATACTTACTGTATTGGAGTTTTCTCGCAATTCAGAATCTGTGGACAAAAGGCTCAAGTCACTCAGACAAAGTGAGTGATTTGCATCCTGTGAAAGAGAAAAAATTCTTATTGAATAAAAAAAAAAAAAAATCAGGATTAGTAGCATATCATGTAATAAAACACTTGATTACGATGTTCCAAATGTCTAGACGTAAACCATCCAAACAAGGACTATGTGAATTATTTCAATTTTTAAAACCCTGATATTCTTAGAAAAATCTCTTACATTTCTTAAAGATGGTTAATAAAGAGTTGAAGAGTTGTCTCACAACTAAGGCTCTAGAATAACAAAAGCCATAATATGAAATTAACAGTATTTGTATAAGTGATCTTATCATGTACAAGTGATTTCACATGATCTTCTTTGCTATTCATATAAAACTTTGAAGTATTATTTTACATTCCCATTTTAAATGAGAAAATTAATGCAAAGAGTGGCAGTGAACTGTCCAAAACCACACAGCTAATTAGCAGAAGAGAAACCCAGTGCTTCTAACTGAAGTCCAACTTCCTTCCATTCCATCGCTGTGTCCCCAAATGGGCATCTCAGGGGTCCTTCCTCAGAGCGGTACTGAGGATTTACTATTCAAACACGGCTGCCTGGGCTAGCTCTGAACTCTGGATTCCTAGAACGCCAGTTGCAGTTCACATACTTTACGTGGTAGCCCTGCTTATCTCATGGATTAGATGTTCCCATTCATGCATGCATTCAGCAAATATTCACTGGGCATCTACTATGTATTAGACACTGTTCTAGGCCTAGGGACACAACAATGAACAAAACAAAATCCCTGCCACCAGACAGCTTACATTCTAGTGGGAGTTTGGGGTGGGGGGAAGGGACAAATATATTTGTATACAAGATGACAGTAAATGCTATAGAGGGTAAGGGGAACAGGGAATGCTGGGGTCAGAGCTGCCCTTTTATTAGGTTAGGGAAGGCCTCTTCGATAAGGCAGCATTTGGGCAGGTACTGAAGGAAAGAGGGCATAGACCATGCACATATATGGGGAAAGTGTTCCAAGCAGAGGGTACATCAAGTACAAAGTCCTGGAGGCAGGAGTGAGCTTCCCTTGTCCAAGGAATCACAAGGAGGACAGTATGGCTGAAGTGAGAGGAAGAGGCATAAGTTAGGTCAGAGAAGTGACTAAGCCAGTGTAGGGCCTTGGAGACCACTGTAAAGAATTTTTTTTAAAAATATGCTTTATTGATTTCAGAGAGAGGGAGAGGGAGAGAGATAGAAACATCAGTGATGAGAGTCATTGATCAGCTGCCTCCTGCACACTTCCTACTGGAGATCAAGCCCACAGCCCAGGCATGTGCCCTGACTGGGAATCGAACCGAGATCTCCTGGATCATAGGTCGATGCTCAACTGCTGGGCCACGCCAGCCAGGCCACTGTAAAGATTTTTACTTTTACTTTAAGTGGTACAAAGAGCTACTGGAGGGTTATGAGCAGAAGACATACATTACCTGCCTTCTGGTTTAGAAAGCTCACTGTGGGTGACATATGTAGAAAAGTGTGTGGCCCTAGACAGGTAGCTCAGTTAGTAAAAGCACTGTCCCAATTTGCTAAGGTTTTGGATTCGATCCCCAGTTAGGGCACATATAAGGAGCAACTAATGAATTCATAAATAAGTGAAACAGCAAATTGATGTTTCTCTCTCTTTCCCCCTTCCTCTCCAAAAATCAATAATAATAATTTAAAAAAGTGTGTGTCAGGGCCAAGTGGGAGTGGGGAGAAGGGGGAAAGGTGCCAAGATAACCACTTAGCAGGTTACTACAATAACCCAGGCAAAAGATGGGAGTGGCTTGAACGAGGCAACCAGAAGAAGTGATATTTTCTCAAGGTAATGCTAACGGACTTTGCTAGTGAATGCAGGGTATGAGGGGATAAGGGAAGTCAAAAACAACTCCAAGACTGTTGGCCTGTGCAACTAGAAGCACAGAGATGCCACTTACTAAGATGGGGAAACTGCAGAAGGAGCAGGTTTGGACATGTCAAGTTGAAGAGTAGATGGTATCTGGGTGGAGATGTCAAGTGGGGGAGTGAATATGCAAGTCTAGAGTTCAGAAGGAGACCCAGGCTGAATGTAAATTTGGGACTAAAAGGCACTCTAGATAGCATTTAAAGCCTGGGGCTAGAGGAGATTCCCTCCACTGGAGTGACAAGTGACCCAGAGAAGAGGAGGTCTGAGCACTGTGCACTGAGCCCCCTAATACTTACAGGTGGTCAACAGTTAAAACTGTGTCTGGATTGTTACAAAAGTGAGAAAACTGATCATGACTTCATAATGCAGCTTAGCAGACAAAGACTCTCAAATCTTAGTATTTATATCTGGTTTTACAGATGAAGAAACTGAGGCACACAGATGCCATTTGCCTACGGTCATCTGGTTAGTGGCTGAGCTTAGATCCGAGTTCAGGCAGCTAAGCTCTAGAGCTGCATGCAGTCTTCACAACTAATACTAGTTTGCCTCTTACAACATAGGGATCAAGAACCCGGCTCTGGAATCAGACTGCCTGCCTAAATAAGGCCACAAACTCTGGATACTTAGGCAAGTAATTTCTCTTTGCCTCTAGTTTCTTTATCAGTACTATGGGGATAATAACAGTACTGACCTCACAGAGCTCTTCTGAGATAAAACAGATAAAAGCACTTAGCACAGTGCCAGACACACAGTAAGCATTCAGTAAGTGTTCGTTATTATTACTAATAAAACATAGGGAAAGTCCTTTTAAAGGGACCCCTTGCTATTTAAAAATTGCAACCATAGAATTAAAGTATGTTCTCTCTCCCCAAGTCAAAATCATATTACATACTTTAAGAACCTCATCACTCAAAAGGAGGTGTGTTTCAGTTTCTTTAACTATGAAGTGGTAAGATAACAGTACTCACTTCCTAGGTTTAAAAGACACATGGTGAGTATCCCATGCCACATTAGAAGTAATAACAGTATATTTATCCCAGGATCTCTCTGGAATGAGCTGTAGGAGAAGGAAATATAGTGGAGGAGCTTGTCAAAGACTAGACAGACTACCTAAAACTCTTCAGAGGCTTGTTCTGTGGTTCAGTGCCTTAAACTAGTGGCTCTCAAACCTTTCAGTCTGCAGATAATGCAGAAGGGCAAGGGGTCACCCAGACTCTTCCTGGTTCTCCAATGATAGATTAAAGGATGTGTAAAATAAAGCATTAATTCGTGTTCCAAACTCAAGTCCAGAAACACCATTTTACAGATATGAACGGGAAAATAACACCCTTTTAGAGCACCTGGCTGGCCCTCTGGAAGCCATTCTGAGACCTCTGGTTTCAAGACCTCTTCTATCCATCACACCCGATGGAAAGCAGGTGGAGCTGAATCAAGGGCTGAAACACAGAGAGTCTGGTGAAATTCCTAGCTTCTACCACCCATCCCCAACACACAGATCTTGGCCCTGATTTCTTCCCTCTCACTAACAGATACACAGAGAAGATGTTTTGACCTTTTATTTTTATACACAAACAATGGTTGCTGTTCTGTCGTGCCCAGATCAAAGCCAGAGAGAAAACACTGCACACCTCTGATCCGTTGTGAGTTGGAAGTGCATTGTATAAGTGTCCTTTGTTATCATGACCTTTCATGTGACTTTTGAGACTGTATTGAGTGCTGAATGTTTTCTCACAGCCGTTACTGGGGCAGAAAAAGGGCCGTTCACCTGCAAGAATAACAAGTAGTGTTAAATTTCCCATGAAGTCACTGCACGGAATTAAGCCACCTACTATTCTCTAAAAGAGGGAGGTATTCCTGTGACAGTTCAGGTTAACAGCTGACATAAGCTGGGTAAATTACGTTAATCATCTCAGTCCTAAAACTTAACGGAGAGCAAAACACAGAGAATGGCCTGCTCCTGGGAAGTTTAAAGAGAAAATTAGTTTTTCCCCAGGTTCTTTTTGAGTATCTTTGTACTGCTTTCATTTCTTAAGGTTGGATTCCTGAGTCAACCTTTAGATCCTTTTACCTCCAGAAGAAAGTCAAACATTATAGGTGAAGGCTAAGCTGATTAGGCTCCCTCCCTCCCCAGAGCTCTCCAGGTCTCGACAGAAACATAGATATTTATTGGCTTGATGAAGATTCAAATAAAAAATAAAAATGAACTTAAACTCACCAGTATGTGTACGGACATGAGTTTTAAGGTGGTGGCTTGCTGCAAAAGCTTTTCCACAGCCATCATGATCACACCTAAGTAAGTGGGTTAAGCAAAAAGAAACAGTACTCATTAGCCAACAGACCTTTATCTTCACATCTCCTGTAAATACAAACTCAAACTAAAACAAATGTTCAGAACACCAAGATCACGTCAATGAAACTGGGTTCAGACATGGGAATGATGACAAGTCCCTGGAAAAGTAAGTGACAAATCTGAGATCAGAGGAAGCTGATGGCCCAGGATAAGCATTTCTTGTTCTACAGATAAGGCTCTTGTTGAGAGCACTGACAATAAAAGCCTCTGATAAATTACTTAACAGAATTCTATTGACAATGAGAGCCCATTAGAAAACCTACTGCCAGTACAGTACTAGAAAGTGGTACAGAGGCTCCCTCAGAGGCGTGGAGCCTGAAACCTAACATCAGAACAAAATCAGAACACGCTGGCTGTAATGACTTAGTATCTTCAGTTTAGGTCGGATCTACTTCTTCCTTTACTTTCTTGATAACCAAAGCTAGAAGTAATCTTCCCCTCCTCTGAACTCCTACACATTTAGCTTCTTTTATGGCACCTGCCACTTCTAACCTTGTTTTATCTCCACTGTATACATTTGTTATCTGAGTAGACTGTCAACTCATTGAGGGAAGGGTCCATACAGTTCTTTACATTTGCTGTAGTTCTTGCACAGGGCAGGCATTCAATTACTATTTATATGAATGAATGCATTCATATAAAATATTTTATTTCTTTAAATAGAAAGCTTCTCTAAAGCATTTTACTTTCTAATTACATATAATCATTGTGTCTCAAGTCCCATCTAATATTCAAGAAAAGTTAGCAGTATTAACACCATAAAAATACATGTGATTGAACAGAAATCGGAGTCCCCTCAACAGCCCTAAGGGAGAAAAAAGTAATGTAACTGTCACAGCATCCAGAGAGCAACCAACTAGAACCTAAATACTCCTGCTTTAGAGGGGCCGTGACTCAGAAAAGCATCTGTAATTTTTAAACACAATTACATTAATTGTGTTTAAGAGTTGACTGTCCCTGAAGACTTTCCAATTTCCTGGCATCCTAAGGAGATGAGTGATTCAAGAAGGAAAAGGTGGGTATCTAATGCCATGAATATAACAACCACCTTTCCTGACAGAATTCAAAGACATTGTTTATATGCAATTTTCAGTAACACATCTGTATTATATTTAGGGGGAACCCTTCAGAACTCATTATCTTACTAAAAAGTCACATATCATCCCTGGTTTGTTTCCGATTTCCTACTGATGCCCAAAACCATGTTATGTGGTATGAACACAAAAGAAAGTAGATGAGCCTGGCCAGGCGTGGCTCAGTGGTTGAGCATCAACCTAGGATCCTGGAGATTGTGGTTTGATTCCTGGTCAGGGCATATGCCTGGGTTGCAGGCTCGATCCCCAGTGGGGGGGGGGTGCAGGACGCAGCCGATCAATGACTCTCTCATCACTGATGTTTCCCTCTCTCTCTCCCTCTCCCTTCCTCTCTCTGAAATCAATAAAGATATATTTTAAAAAAAGAAAGTAGATGATGCAATTCCTTTCTTTAAGCTTAAACATCTATACTTGTATCTATTAAATTATATATAGATACATAAATTGAAACATATAGATAGAAATGGATGTTCCTATCTGTTTGTATATACGCAAGATATTACAAAGAAACAACTGACAAGTAACAAAATAAAATACTCGCATCACTGCCCGAAGTAGCCCTACCCCTCCTTTCCCCTGCTGTCTCCTCCTACTCTTCCCACTGGTTCTCAGGCCGTACCCTTCCCCGTGCTCAAAGCGCTCTGGGCACCCGTCTCCGATACTGTCAGGTTACTTGCGGTTCTTTTCCACCAGACTAAATTTCCCAAGAGGAGAACCTGTGTCTTAGTATTTCTTTAGCACTGATAAAAACACTTACCACATCAGTGAGTTTCAACAAATGCTCCTTCAAAATAAAAGGAAGGAGGCAGGAAGCCATCATCCAGAGTAAGGATGCCCTTGGAAGCCATTACCCTCCCTCCAACCTGCAGTAACTGGTTACAGCCGTCCTGGGGAGAGCAAACACTGCCAAAGGACCAGTGAAGAGAATTTTCTTTCCATTTTGAAAATTTTAGAGTACATCAAGATACCCAGCTAAAACCTGGTCGGTGACAAATAGAAAACAGTAAGACCTACCGAAATGGCTTTTCTCCTGTATGGGTCCGAATGTGCTTCCTCAGATCACTGAGAGTAGTGAAGTACTTGCTGCAGCCTTCAGATTCACAGTTAAACGTTTTCCCTGTGTGAAGCCTCTGATGTGCTTTCAGCCTGTAAGAGACCCAGAGAAAGTCTCTGTCAGGACGTCTTAGAGAGCCTCCCTAAGCCCACTTAATGCCTTCAGGGTTAAGAGCATAGGCCTACAGCAAGTAAAATCCTTTATGAGAAAAGTAATTTTACTTATGGCTAAGTAAATACTGAATACTGACAACAAAAAATTATATATACTGGAAATAAGATAGTTACCCTGGGAGAATGGGCTTTGGGAAAGGGTGCCAAGTGTGACAGAGATGAGGGAGAGGAAACAGAGCTTAATCCTTAACTTCCATAGTGGGAAGTCAATATCCTAAAATGGAAAAATCAAGGAGCAGTATAAGCTTAATACTTAAAAGTGTGGAAATAAATATAAAAATATTAATATTAAGCTAAAAGAGTAGAAAGTGGTTGCATGTGAAGGGGGACAAATGGGGAGTTACATCTTTTGTAACAACATCATTGAACTATCTACTCTGTAAACACTGAGAATATATAACCTTGATAAAATAAAAAATTATTTTAAAAGATTAAAAAAGGATTAAGTGCATCAGGATTTTATATTCATCTATATCAGTTCCAAAATGTTTTGCTCAAAGAGAAGTATATAGCACAGTGGCACTCTGGAGCCTGGGACTCAAATCCTCGTCCCACCTCCTACTGGATGGGAGACCCTGAGCCAGTTAACACTCTGGGCTTCCATTTACTTATTAGTGTTGTAAGGATTAGCACTCAGAACAGTGCCCAGCACACAGTGAGTGCCTTAAAACTGTTAGAGCTTGTCATGTTTGTTATTTTACACCTAATGTTGAAGACTAATAAGTTTCCTGATACCAATAGTGGAAAAGAGAAATGGCTAATGAATGGAACACTCCCCATTTCTCAGGCTAGAAAGACATTCATCTTCAAAGAGAGATAGGAAAGGAAATGACAGAAGCCTTAGTACCAAGGGTCTGAGCCAAGGGGTAACAGTACTCTATGCCGAATACTCAAATCCCCAGGCCAGGATGGCACTACAGGAGAAACAAAATCTAAACACAAATGCACTCATTTTCAGCCAACCCAACATATGTCGATCTTTAAGTAACAAGTTCCTCTAATGAATTTTAAACAGTTGAGCATAGCTGCGCTCTTAGCCCTGAAAGAGACCATCTGCACTGTGTGAGGAGAGAGCACTGCAATTGTGACAGTTAGGGTCAGAGGCTGGCTGCGCAGTGGGAGAAAGGCTGACCTGTAGAGCGTGTTGAACGCCTTCTCACAGCCCTGCACGTCGCACTCAAATGGCTTCTCCTTCGTGTGCACTCGCACATGGATCCTGAGGCTGTAGGAGGTGAGGAAGGCCTTGCCGCAGCCTTCCTGATTACAGACAAAGGTGTACTCTCCTCGGTGAGTCTTCTGGTGGGTGCGCAGGTTGCCTGCTGTGCTGTAGGTGCGGGGACAGCCCTCAAAGGTGCACTGGTACCGCTTTACCTGGCAGAGAGAGGACAACTCAGCAAGTGGATAAAAGATCTGCCCAGAGTGTGGCTCCCAGGATATGTGGATACAAAAACACAGAAAAAAGCCTCTAACAAAGTGGGGATACCTTCCCGCTGATCAAATCACACCTGGACAAAAAATTATGAGTAACAGGGAACACATAAGCTTGTAGATAGGTGACTATTCTAAGTAAATACAAGAAGGGTGTTTGCAGACTTTATATACATCTATCCTCTAAGGGTGGGAACATACAAATAAAATCTGACTTCATTTTAAGTCAAACATCCTGCTCTGTGGCACTATATCTTGGTTGGAACCAACCAACATTAAATTGAGTCTAAAACATCCTAAAATGTTTATACTCAGTCATGTAAATATTAGCAGGTATTACTAGCATAGTTTCAACTGAATATTTTCAAGTCCACAAAATACAAATAATATATCATTAATTGCTTCGAGTCTGACCTTTCTCAAACTGCCAGCCTCTGGGTTTCCTTTCACCGCCAAACTTCTAAAAGGGTAGTGTTCCCTTGTGCCTCCATTTCCCTCAATGCCTATGTATTCCTTCCCACTTGGCAAGCTGGCTTCACTGTATGAAATTATTCCCTTGAACTTCCTGGTGGTTGACTCCCTCATCCTTTCCCACTTTCCTTCATTATTTGCAAAAATATGTTATGGACGATGCCCTCTCCTTCTGAAAAACATGTCCTTCACCACATAGTAACTCCTTGGCTCTCTTGATCTTCTCTGAGCCACTCCTTTCCTTTAATCTCTAAATGTAGGTTTACCCCAAACCTTCTCTCAAACCTTCCCCGTCCGTACACTGGTGCAGAGGAAGCAGCATTAGACTTGGTGGGAGGAGACTGAACTCATGCATTTACGTTCGAGACTCTGAGCATGTCATTTCGCTTCTCTGAGTTTCATGTTCTTTATTTCTAAACTGCGAATATTAATGCTTGCCCTGACTGTCTCACAGTGCTTTTAAGTAGAATAAAAGACGATAAAACATCTTTGAAAATACTCTGTAAATTCTTTGATGCTACACCTACCAGGGGGCTAGTACTGTCTACTCTTCAGCTTTAGCAAACCTCTTCACCTTTAATCCTAACCTTTCTCCAAAGCCTCAATTCACTGGTGCTACTCAACCAGACCGGTGTTACTGACTCAACAGTTACTGAACTACTATGTCCCAGCCAACAAGCTAGACACCACAGATAAAAAAAGTAAGCACGGCCAAAATCTCTGCTTTTCAGGAATGAAAACTTTAAGGAGGTAGATGTGCTGAGCCTGGCAGCAGATATATGCCCAAGGTATGGGAACATAAAAAAGGAAAACCTAACCCTTCTCAGAAAGACTGGCAATCAGTGAAGGCTCAGAGACCAAGGTACTCTCTCTGAACTGAGGGTAGTGTGGGTTTTTTTTGCTTGCCTGTTAAAGTCTATTTTTTTTTTAGGGACAAACTGAAAAGGCATTCCTCAGACAAACCAGGAAAAAGGACATTCTAGAAAGAGGTAACTAACACCTTGGGAACTGCATAGAAATAGAAATGAGTTTGTTGGTACAGTGAACCACAAAAACATCTGCAGTATGTGAGAGACTGGAAGGAGAAGACTCTAGAAAAAAAGGCAAAGCCACCTCGGTTAAGCCATCAAGTAGAGAGATAGGACAATGGAGAGCCATACACTCGTTTCAACCAAGGCAGAACACACTCAGACCTGGGGTTCAGGAGAGAGATTCTGGTATCCTTGTGGAGGGTGGCCTGCAGTAGAAGAAGGGATAGATCAAAAGAGGGATAACAGTCCTGGAGAGAGATGAAAAGAATCTGAACTAGGGAAGTAACAGTGGCCCATATGAGAGATGAATTCCAGAAAAATTAAAGGGGGAGGGATAACAGGCTGTAGTGACAACTTGTGCTGAGGAGTAGAAAGCATCAGGGAGTGACAAAGTCAAGATCAACCTCCAAGATTACGGCTGGATGACTAGAGAAGGTCATACTACCAACCTGGGGCTGGATCGGGGCTGGGGGAGAGATGATGAGTTGGGTTTGAGGTGCTGCCATGAATTCCAGGTGGAAATGTCTACCCGCCAGTCAAGACGTATAGGCTGGAAGCTAAGCAGCGGTCTGTGGCGGGAGTCTGGCACGCAGAGAATAGCTGACTTGACCTGCACACTACAGCAGGCTCAGATTCCAGCCCCAGCGGCTGCTCCTGTGCAACCTTGGGGAAATCACTTGAGCTTCCTGAGACTCCCGTTCCTTATTTATAGCATGGAGGAAACAAAATCTATCTGTTTAGGGTTGTAAGAATTAGGGATCATCTGCATAAAGCATTTAAACATAGTGACTGCCATACAGTAGGTGCTCAATAAAATAATAGCTCTTATAAGAGGACAAAGGCTGGACCCGTGAAAGTTACCAATGTTTAAAGTGCTGGTAAAAGAAAAGAAGCCACTGATGGGTGAGCAGGAGAAAGTGCTCAGGAAACAGGAGGAGAAGCAAAGCAGAATGTCACCGAAGTCAAAAGGAAAGGGTCCCTAGGAAAAGAGAAAGCTCAACATGTCAAATGTCAGCAGAAGCAAGGGAGATGAGGGCTAGGAACCACTGTGTCCCGCAGCCAGGAACTCACTAATGACTCAGACTGGTTTTCATGGACGGCTGGGGTCGGACATCGCGAGAGGGAACCAAAGGCAAGGTGAGGTGGGGTAGAGGCTACAGGTGCAGAGCAGCAGCAGGAGTGTGTGTTTGGTTGTTTCTGGGGGTTTTTGTTTTGTTTGTTTTTTGGGGTTTTTTTATATATCTTTATTGGTTTCAGAGAGAGGGAAGGAGAGGGAGAAAGAGAGAAACATCAATGATGAGAGTCATTGATTGGTCACCTCCTGCACGCCCCCAACTGGGCATCCAGCCTGCAACCCGGGCATGTGCCCTGACTGGGAATGGAACCCCAATCGCCAGGATCCTAGGTCGACGCTCCACCGCTGAGCCACGCCCGTCCGGGCTGTTTCTGTTTTTTAAGTAGGATAGTCTTGAGCATATTTGGGAGGAGAAAGGTCCTGGAATAAAGATGCTGAGGATCTAGGGAGGAACTTAAGAAGGATATTTAAAAGCCTGGGTAGAGGGAAAGCTTCAGGTAGGGAGAGAGACACTGAGTTTCAGAAAAGTGAGATAAAGACGGGTGTGACTCAAGGGTGGTCAAGACTTCTGTAAAGAGCCAAACAGTAAATATTTTAGGCTTTGTGGGCCATGCAGTCTCTGTTACAACTACTCAACTCTGCTGTTCTATGTGAAAGTAGCCATAGGCAATACATAAATGGACAAACAAGGCTGTGCTCCAAAAAAACTATTCATGGACAATGAAACTTGAGTTTCATATCATTTTAGTATATCATGAAATACTGTTCTTATTTTGATATTTTAAAAAATCATTCTAAAATGGAAAAACTATTCTACAAAAGCAGGCATCTGGATGGATCTGGCCTGTGGGCCATAGTTTGCCAATCTCTAAAATCAGGAGGGTGGGGAAAGAAGGGGCCCTGACACCTCCCATCTTCTACTCTCTCGTCTATCCACCTTCAATACAATCCTGCACAAGCCTTTGGATTCCTCAGGCAAGTGCTCTCTCACTCAGTCCCTGCCCTTCCCACTGCCACACGGGAGGTGCTGCATAAACATTTGCTGAACTGAATTACTGGCCCAGTAGTCCAGGCATCCTCATGTCTCAGTGCCTAGCTTTGAAGGCACTCATTGCGAGATTTATTCTAAAACTGTTTTACACATGTCATTGCTCTGCTCAAACAGTAAAGTCCCAATTTCCTAGCCTGACATTCCCAGTCCTTCCAGGTCTTCTTCCATCTTCTATCGCATTACTCCAGCACACCCTTCCCCAAATGCAACACTGCATTTCCACGTGCCTGCCTTTGCTTTCTTCTTTTTCTCTACTAGAAATGCCTGGTTCCTTTCTTCTCTGCTTTTCTGAGTCTCTTTCTTCAGTTCAAGCTTCACTACCTGCCTTCAAGGCCCTCCACAATCACTCCACATCTAAGAGACAGTGCCCTTCTCTGAGTTTCAATATTTAACTATACCACTCATTGGACACTGAGCTTACATTGTTATAATTACCTTCTCAAACACATATTCTGATTTCCCATCAAGGCTAAAAATCTTTGGTGCTGCCAGATCAGATAGAGATTTCAAAATAATCACTGACCAGGATAGAGAACCAGGGCTGTGAGTGCTGCAATAAAGGAGTCTGCATGTCTCAATCACAGAGCTTATGACAATGACGAACAAGAGCAGAATTTCATTCTTAAGATGCTACAGCAGCTGGTATCTTTATAGGTAACAGTGCCATCAATAATTACCCCTCCTTGTCGCCCTCCCCTTCCAACCCCTACTCCCATCAGGGTTTTTCCTTGGCCAATTCAAGTTTCGAATGAATGTTCCTTTCTCAAGAAACTCTTTCCTGACTCCTACTCCCACCACAAACTAGAACAGGTATTCTTATTACAGGTTCTCATGGCTTCCTCTATTGCTTTAAAGAATGTAATACCATTAAGATTAAATAATTACATAATTAAACCTTTTACATCATTATCTATTTAGTTGCTAAGCACAGCAGTAGCTAAAAAACAGGAGGCACTAAATAAATATTTCTTGAGTTCAATGAATGGCTACTCTCCATTTGGGCTATATGTTCCATGAGAACAGGGACCATGCTTGTCACGTCTGTCTTGGTCACTGCCACAGCCACAGGGCCTAGTGTTGTGGAGAAGTGACACTTGATTCATATTTGCTGAATGAAAGACTAAATGGCTAAACAAATGAACAACATGAAACCAGCAGGACTTAACGCTAAGGCCAGTAGCAACAAGGACTACAAGCGGCAAAGGAGCAGTTTCAAGGAGGATGGTAACTGGTTCAGATGCAGCAGAGATGACTGACAAAGCATTTCTTGGATTCGGCCAACTCACCAAGTCATAACTGGCCCAGCAAGACTAGC